GATTATTATTATTAGAGTTATTATTATTACTAAGGTTATTATTATTATTTTTATTATTATTAAGATTATTCCTATTATAGTTATTATTGTTACTCAGCTTATTATATTTAAGATTACTCATTTATTACAATTATATTACTATATAATTAATCTTTAACTAAATTAGAAAGTATATTTTAACATATATCAAATTCTCCAAAGCTTTTAAATCTTTCGATTATTGGATAAACTTTTTAATACCAATTATAATTAATTTTATCAAACTAAGAATTATATTTAATATATTTGAGATCTACTTTATTTTAATTTTATATGAAAGAATCCAATTCCTCATAAAAACTAAAAGTAATTAATTACTATTCCTTCTATCTTAAATCCATCATCCATTTATTCACAGTATCTTCAAGTTGATTTAATAATTGAATCAAGCTTGATTTTAAACTTGAAATAGTATCAATTAACTATTCAATTTTGAGTAATTAAAATAAATTAGCTTTTCAACATATTCTGCTTTCTTTTTTAATTCTTCTTAAATCAGGCTTACTACTTTTTTATATGATAGCAGTTTAGAATATCCTTCTGCTGTATCTAAACATTACTCACAATAGAGTCTTTAAGATTGAGGTATATTTGAATCTAGTGCAACAGTGATAATTCGTTGATTATGCCCATATGCACAAGCCAATTATTATTCTTATTCTATCATTTTTGTAAAAATCTTACTCATATTCATTATTTTAATTAATTAATTTATAATTATATGATATTTAGTTTTATAATCAAATCCTTCTAGAAAATTAATTTTCTTCTATAATGTGTTGGCTTTATTGAAAAAGACAATTAAAATCTATACTATTAAATGTTTATATAACTTTAAAAGTTCTTCTCAAATTTTCTAAATTAAAGTAGACTAAAAATCAATTTAAATATACACTCAAATCTACTAATTTATGTTTTGGTAAAAAAGCAGGATCATTTTAAAAAAGGATGTTATCTTTCTGATTTGATTTTTTTTATTATGATTCCATGCACACTTTTTTTTATAGTGATAAAATTTTATTAGTTTTTTGAATGAATTTTAACCTTATTAGATTAAGTTAATTTTTGAAATCCATAGAATTATTTTTTCTTAAAAAAAAGGTCTCAATTTGAAACAATTGCATTGCCATTAAAATATTAACTTTGAGTTTATTTATGAATTTTATTACTTATTCTAATTGATTGTTGCTACCTTGAAACATTCGCCTTTCAAATTCTATTTTAATTATACCTATTAAATGGCACATAATAATAAATCTTATTTGATGAATGAGAAAATTATAAGTAAAGATGTACTTATATCATTTGTCAATTAGTACTGAAAATATTATAGTTGATAAATATCAATAATCATATTAATGAAAAGCTTGAAACAAAAAGAGCATTAACATTATAAATAATAGAATAACATAATTTTCTAAGAATTAAATTAGAAAACCAAAATACTTTTGGATACTTAAAGATATTTCATAAATTAATTAGTAATCAATAATTCTTTAGAAGTTAAAATATAAGAATAAAACGTAAATCTTTAGAAATAGAAATTATAAATTATAATAGATTATGAGGAAGAATTAACAAAAATTATATTTAAAATTATAAGGAAATATTAAGTATATATTTACTAAATAGGAATCAAAATATTGTCGAGTTTAGAATTAAAACATCTTTAAATCATAAAAATTTTACATTCTCTATCAAAAGGTTCCAATTCAGATGAATTTGATCCATCATGACTTTCACATGCATTTAATTTGACATAAGTATAACTATTTACATATGTACATTAATTTTTTCCATATTTCATTTTTGCACAATGAGATG